ACCGCCTGCCGCAAAACTGGGTGTAAATGAACTACCGCCCCTGAAGCATCAACGCTATTTATAGATGCATTAATTAAGTAAATATTCAAAATTAGCCACTCCCAAGCTGCTCCCAAGTCTCAACTGCCCAACATAAAATAAATTCCTTGATTCTCATCACCGCCCGACTGAATTTTAAAATCCTCGTGAAAACGTTTTATTTTTCGTTATACAATATAAATGTACCGCCCGACAAAATAATTCAAGACAGTTAAATTTTTCATATTTTATATAGAGTTTTTATTGCCATTTTAAACTTCCAATTTGAAACAAACAGAATTTTGAGTGAAATTTCATTGTATTTTAAAGAAACCCAGTCATTCTGTCATTGTTCGTGGAGATACGAACTATTGATATATAACTTATATAAATATAAAATATAAAAAATAAATCTCCCACTGTCTTCGACATTTCAAAGTGTAGACTGTGTCTAGTGATGAGAATCAAGGAATTTATTTTATGTGTTAATATAAACCAAGCCCGTTTAGCTGCCTTAAAACGATGGTTTAATAAGCTCAAAATACAAAGAATACAAGTCTATACTATAGATTCATCATCAGTCAACAACCAAACTGAAAGTATTGAACCTTATAGAACGATAGTTTTTATTTGTTTACAACTATACATATTCAACGGGTATATAAGAGTTTAGCTGTTATTTGATAATTACTGCATCAACCGGCCCCTTGTTTATACTTTGGAGGTTCGTATATAATATCTATCAAGTATCTTTGGTTCAGAACATGACTGATAGGCCTATATGGAAATCCCACTGTTCGATTCAGTGAAGAAATATCTCCTAATTTCTATCGATAGTTTTAGTAAAATGTCAACATTATTGCGATTTATGGCCTTTGAAAGTCAAGCGAGATAGTATATTGTCAAATTAATACGCATGTAATTGTCTGAACGAAAATATAGACTAGCCCATACCTTTCGCCGATCATAACTTCGGCCCCTTCGGACGTATCTTCTTTGTTAAATATTCTTGTTCGAATCTCTATCAAAAACACTATTTAGAGTGTTATTTTTCAGCTTGTATCTTTTAATTTGCTTCTTTTATTATGTTATTCAATTTCTGGTCTGACTTGACGTGAACTAATTTCAAAACGCAGAGTTTCAAAACGTCAAAACATTTGGTTAATGATTAACATTTAACCGAATTTAGCCGTTGATTGACAACTACATAAAAATACTAACCAATCCGTTTTCCCCGTTCACCAGCGGACGGGTAATTCAAAAACCCCTAGTTTTGCGGCAGACGGTATTTCCTTTGCTTCCCTAATTTTCGCTGCCCGTAGAAATACCGCCTGCCATGCAGGCTATGGGAACGAGGATGATAACGTGCTTGTGATTAAAAATTGAATCACAATTTTCTATAAGATACTTTATTCTCACCTTCATCAAAGCAAAGACGACATCTTGCCCACAACGGTCACACATGACTTTCCGATATTCACATTCCCTTGAATGTTCGGGCAAATGCGAGCGTTGAATTTTCATCTCGCATTGCGAATGATCGCATTTGATCAAAGCATATTCACAAACTTGAGAATGACCCTACAATTACAGGAAATATTTTTATCGCTTTTCATTCGCATTTAGCTACCATACAATTCAGAAAAGAAACAGCCTCAGTTACTTTTAAAAACCATTATATTCAGAGAAACTAGTCGCTACTTCCTGGGGGAAATGAGAACACATCAAAGGCATATTATGACTGGAGTCTCTGAATGATCAGTAATAATGCGATTTTTAGATACATGTACTTCAAATTATAACTCAATATGCAATGTGACAAGAAAGTTATATTATTATACATTGAAAATAAGGAGGTATGGAAACACCTTAATTAATGCTATGGTATCAAAGTTATCCAAATTTGTAGAATGGGTATAAACGTTCATTTTCAGGGGTGGAAAAAGTATCGGAACCATCAGTCCCAGAAAATTTTTGAGTTCTCAGAAAATATTTCCCCAAGAAAGAAAAAATTGGTAATTGTAATCATTTAGATAAAAGGTAGCCTGCGTGCAGCTAGATAAAAGGAGAACTTCAAAGGAAAAATTCTAACCAGTAGAAAGAATGTTACCCATACTGTTGGTATGACCTCAGAAATGCAATTATAACTGTAAGTGCATCCATCTTTAATAGTGCGATAGTGTGTAAAAGTATAGACAATAAAATGATAACAAATTTTGAATGGCAAATGCACCTTAGAATCCAACCCTTCATGCACGTTATCTAAATTTAATTAGTTTTATTCCTAAAAGTCTTACTAAGATACTCAATGCACTGAAATAAATTGTTTCTGTTAAAATATACCATGACATCCAATTTGACAACTTGTAGGTGTCACACACTTTCTGTGTCCAAGTGTCGATTTACCTGATTATTTGCAAAAACATTTTCAATGTTCTCTTTCGGTCCCAGAAAGTAAAATATTTTTTCCACCCCTGCGCTTGTTAGCCAATTCTGTGTGTTCTCTCCATTCAGGGCCACTCCCTTCCCTGACATTCCTGGTCCTCCTTCTCTCTTCCTACCTGACCTCCCTAATCCCTTACTTCTTTAATTAGCTCTCTTCTTCCCTTCCTCCCTCTCTAATTCATTCACTCGCTTCATTCCTTCACTACTAGCTAGCTCTCCCTCCTTATACCAGCTCACCTCCAACTGCTCGTAAAAACCATGCCAGGAACAACCAGTATTTGCACAATGTAAGCGAACAGCATTAAGCTGCCGTTTTTTTAAGATTGTCGCAGTTTACCTAAACGAGTTAAAATATTTCGCCTTTTTATTTCATGCAAGTTCAAACCCAAATGGAAAGCCCATTTCCTTTCTGAAAAATAGTGACAGATTTGCTGACCATCTACAAGCTGCACAACAAACCTGTTGGCACTTAATTGTGCCATCCATCCCATCACGTCGTACTGGTGGAAATAACATTTGTCTGATATTCAAATTTAAGACTACTCATACATAGTGTCTTAAGCGGCTGTCACAAAGTTTTCCATAAAGGTTTATATGAAAAGCACTCACTTTTTCTTCACTCAACTCTTCGCCATCTTCGGGACATCTTGGGTTCGGACTCCTGACAAAAAAATGAATGATTTTACCACTTACTGATGTACAGTGTATTACAAACTTCCCATTTCCGCTTTTGTAGTCTGTTGTCATGAATTACCTAATTGCAGAGAAATGTGCTGATTATAGTTAGTTAAACATTGCAACTTGGTTTATCGAAAAATGCATCTTTTGTTACTATTATAGCAAATTGAGACCGTATATACACACAAAATGGAAGTGGGAAGGTTCTCATGTTTCGCCTAGCTTTTATGGTAGCAAAAATGAAATATCCATGAACTAGCTAATATTTATTGAAAGAATACACTAAAAATGATCATACTTGAGTAAGTTTTCGACGCAGGATTGACACATCAAGTGACCACACACGGTCTGATAGGGAATGTACAACAGTAGCTTGCACAAAGTGCAGATGAACTTTGCATCGATCCTCCGGCGATCTTCATCTGTAATCTTAAAACCAGGCATGTTGGACAATGTCTAAAAATTTTGTCTGTGGACCGAAAATAATAATTATTAGCATTTTCTCAGTAGGTGGATTAAGAGATTTTCACACAACTGAGATGCTCAGCTCCAAATATCCAATTATTCACCTCAGACTCTCAGTGTCGGTGAATAGGGCAAGCTAGATACTCACCTCTACGCTTCCTGTTTCGGTGAATACCTTTGCATTATTCACCTCCACTTCGATGAATAATTGTTAATTATTTGATTCTATTATACTTATTGTGTACAGCATCAGTCGACGAGCAAAGTGTAAGCTTGTCAAGTAAAACGTCTATGCACTTAATTAGCTGTTTGCCTCCTTAACCCATTGAGTTGCATTGCACCCCAATGCACCCTACTTTAGTATTTTACTGTCTATTTAATTAAACGCCAGACAATTTTACTTGTCAAGGGGAGAGCGCTGGCACTTAATGCATGGTTAATTGGCCTATCTGCCCATGTGTCTAGTTAACCCATTGAGTTGCATTGCACCCTGATGCACCCTGCTTTAGTATTTTACTCTGTCTAAAGCATGAGTATTTTACTCGTCAAGGGGAGAGCACTGGCGCTTAATGGGTTAAATACAAGATGTTCTCACAGACCAACAGCTGCGACTGAAATGGCAACTGTAGGAGCGAGCAATTTTGTTTTTTTAAAATAAAATCATGGCAGATTTTTAACAACTTTTTACATTCATCAACATCTACAGGAAAACAACAAGAGAACTCTGAACTACGTGTCATTTCATAACATTATGTGTATCAAATGGTGAAGTAAATGCATTGGCAAGGAGGCAATATTCTCTTTTCAAAATTTACTTTCACTGTCAGCGACCGGAACCACAGGGGCAAGCCTGCCCAATTTGCCCAAACAATGCAGGGGCAGCATGTTGCATAGCCTGACTTTTGTACAAGAACATAATACACTCTGAAAGTCATGCGTTATTCACATGAATTGGAATTGAGAAGTGTTTTCAAGAAGTTTAGCTCAAATCCGAAATTCCTCAACAACCAGTTATGTTATATAAAGTTATTTGTAGAAGATTAGATCGAGGATTAATAGATAGCAACAATATTGAAATCAACAAATACTACGGTTTTCCACTGACTTGGTATTGACCAATCAGGTGATCGTATTCACCGTTCAGAATCTGAACGGCGTGTAGTCATGAAAGACGGGCTTTCCTGCAGGCCCTTAATCCTCCCTCGGAGCCCGCCAAAATCCTACCCGCTGCGAATCAGGCCCCACATAAATTTGAGGGCCTGCCACGCAGGCTACGTAAAATATTGACAAGGTGGATGTATTAAAATTTAGTTAAGAACATCTCCTTGTAAAGTGAGCGATTTTCTGCTCTTGGGAATTTAAAGCAGCTTCTTAAATAGTTTCTTTATGCATAAAATTTACTTATGTCAATCATTTATGCACTCGTGGGAACCAACAGAGTGCTAAGGTATTCAAACCCTAACAATTAAATTGTTATTGGTGATTTCAATAGTTTTCGTTTTTTGGGGGACACCCGACACCCTGTATATGTAATGTAATGTTACGTTATATTAAATTCTAAGTTTTAGCTAGATTTTCACCGACATTTTGAGTCATCGACAACCTTCCGAAACAACTTTGATATCAGACAAACCTCAGTCAGCTCAAGCATGCGCAGACGTTTTTCCAATGTTATTGTTTCCTGATTGCCTCACATTTGAACATATGCTCGGAAATAATATTGAACTGAATAGAACTGGAACGCTATCTCTCCAACCGGAAATTTGAAGCCAAGCATGAAGACCAGTCCCAGTCTTTTCACGCATGCGAAGAGCTCAATCTGTCAATCATGACATAAACGCGCGTGATCTGACCTCTAGACACGGGTGTCTGGAGGCCAGATTTGGCTTTAAGAAAAAGATTGGCAATTTATCTGTAGTTATATTCATTTCAATGGTTTACACGTACCTTTCGACAACATGGCATGACTTGGGAATAGTGCTTCCTGGTTTGCCATGGATAGTTTGGCTGACACCCAGCGACGATTTTGACATAACTCCACATCCATGATGCAATGTTGTTGCCGTTTTACATTCTTCACTACTTGCGGTAATATTTCCATAACACTGAAGTCTTAGACGATGGACAATCTCCCGACAGGCTTCCCATCATGATTTACCATACACAACATGATACGATATACAGAACAAGTTTCTTTACAGAGCGTCCTGCTTTCATATAATCCAAGACAGTATATGTTGTAGACTCTGTGATGATACACACACTGTAATAAACTTAGTTTTTGGAATCAAATTACTGACATACACTTTGTTCACAATATGACACCCTCAATAACTCTATGTTGACTGTTTTTTTCAGGAACGACTTGTCTTGACATTTGTCAACAGAAGGACACTAGAACACGATCGTATCAATTTCGTTTTCAGTTTTTTTGGCATCAAATTACCAATGACATAAAATTGGTTCACAATATGACGGACACCCTCTATAGAACTACACCAACTGTTTCTTTCAGGAATGACTTGTCTTTTGTCTTGACATTTATCAACAGAAGGACACTAATACCACGATCGTATGTATTTCGTTTTTAGTTTTTTTTGGCATCAAATTACCAATGACATAAAATTGCTTCACAATATGACGGACACCCTCTATAGAACTACACCAACTGTTTCTTTCAGGAATGACTTGTTTGTGAATCGTTGGTGATACTGCTTCAAATTCGCTTCAAATTCTACAAATTGTATAAAAATGAATCGTAAGTAAGGATTGACAAAAGACAATTGA